GACCCCCCCTTGGGCCGGCCACAGCAGACAGCTGCCCAGCCCAGGGAGGATGCGAGCGGCTGTCAGCTGCTGTCCTCTTGTGGCCAGGGAGCGGGCACGAGCCAGAGCCGGGGGAATGCAGCGCAGGGCAGTCAGGGAGGGGCGGAGCCTGGGAGGTAGCAGGGAGACCCGGGCATCCAGGCTTCGGAACGTGGAGTGGGGTTTGCGGACCACTGTGTGGGAGCACTGAGGCCTCAGAACCCACAGAGCGGGAGGACAGGCGGAGGCAGAGCTGTGTTGTAGGGACCCGTGGCAGAAGGCCCCAGGCAGACACTGCTGTCCTCCAGAGGCAGAGAAAGGCGGCATGGGACTGAGGATGGCCGAGGTCCTACCCCAGGGCCTGCACCTCTTGACAGCCAGCTTCCCGGCCTGTCCTACAGCCCCTGTGCAAAGCCCTGCAATGGTCAGCGGGCCTTCCACTACCACCCCACACCGCGGCAGCCGACCGCTCCCAGCTCATGCAGCACCGGGTCAACCCACACAGCACAGCTGAGGGCTCTCCCTCAGCCCCCAGGGGAGCACCCTGCCTCTGGCCAAAGGAGGCGGGAGGCGGGGCTGCTCCGGAGTGGGGGGCACCTGAAAGGGGGGCCATGCTGCCCCTACATGCTCAGGAGGCTGCCTCCAGCCCTGAAGCGGCCCAGGAGGCCGGTGTTCTGCCCACTGACTGCCGCCCCTGCGCCTCGCTGTTGGCTCACGTCTGTCTGCAGGGAAGGGTCCCGAGTCCCCTCGCCAGGCCTTCCAGCGTGGGGAGGCTGTGCCATGTGAGTCTTCGTCAGGTACACCCGGGGTGCCCTGTGAGCTTGGAGCTGGGGCGGTCCCACAAAGCCGTTGAGCGGAGTCAGAACGCCTGCCGAGTACAGCACAGCTCATCGAGAAGGTATCGCACGTCTCTCGGGGCCGTCCCGAGGCCTTCCCCATGGAACCCAGAGTGCCTCCATGCAAGCCCATCTCCCGGGATGGGCCCAACAACAGCCTGTCTGACCCACGAGGCTCAGGGCTGGCTCTGGCTTTTGTCAATTTAGCAGACTTGTTTGGAGACCCGTGGCCTACAGAGGTTGGACCAACACGAGCCTTTCCACAGTGGGAAAGGGAAAATCAAAAACCAGCAGAGAGCGACGAGACAGGCTGGCCACTTAGCGGTGCTCCACCTTGGGACTCGCAGCGGAGCACGCATGAGCCTCTGGCTGGAGACCTCTTAGACGGGATGGCGATACAACAGCCTACTGCCACCCGCGTGCCACGGAATCAGGCTCAGCCCCCGGGCGCCAATGGTATGTGGCACGTGGCAACTGGGGGGTCTCATCCTTGAGAAACGTGCCATTCAGTGGGGACGGGGTCACATAAGGCTTGAGTAGGAGGTAAGCAGCTGTTATTTGAAACATGAAGTTCATTTTGAGGAAAGTACTTTAAAATCCTCCACACGGGGACCAGCAGTTAGCGTAACGTCGCTGGACTCCCACGTAGTGGACTACGTTCAAGTCCTGGACCCAGTGGCGTAAACTCACGCCGGGCGCATGTGTGTGCGTGCCCAAGATCCCGAGAGGAGAATGGAAGAGAAGGGATTGTGGTGTGGTCATCCCCCCGGGGGATGATTTTTCACTTTCTGTCTCTCTGTCTCTCTCTGTCTCTCTGGTGAGCACACGTGCCCTATAGCAAAAACCTCTCCAAAAAAAAAAAAAGAAAAAGAAAAAGAAAAGAAAAGAAAATCTTTCACACATCCCACGGCAAGGGTTTTCTGCCTCTGGATGTCACGGCATCTGTCAGAGCCCTACTTACAAAGCTCTCGGTCATGGCAATGCCCTCCCTCACGCTGCGGCTTAAACCAAACACACAGTCCCACGGTGCAGGTACGAACAGCTGGGCCTCGACGGGACGGTACTGAGCTCAGCACAGGTTGGAAGACAGCAGTGCAGGGATCGAACTGGGTCTATTTTGAGCTGTGTTCACCCTGCATATGCAGGGTGAACACACCCACCCACCCACACATGCACACATGTACACACACCCGCACATACACACACCCACACATGCACACACATACACACCCGCACATGCACACACAAACACACAGATACCCTGAGAGATGCGTGCACACAGGCGTGTACTTAAGACACCCAGCAATATGCATGCAGACACCTACAAATGTGCACACACACAAGAGCTACACACACAGAGAGACACCAACACATGCACACAGACACACAGATACCCTGAGATGTATGTGCACATACACACCTGCATAGACACTTTCAGAGATGAGCACACACATGCATTCAGATGCATGCCTGTGTGCACAGGGACACGCACTCACAGGTGCACATGCAAACAGTGCAAGAAGGTGCTAGCAAAGCAAGCAGGACACCTGAGGGTCCCATGGTTCCCTGAGTGGGGAGCCCCTGACGGGACTGAGTAGGGCCCCTTACATGCAGCTCTCCTGCGCTGAACCACACTCAGTGCCAGCACCCCTAGACTGGGAGGTTAGGTCTGCCTTTCCCGCCACCCCAGCGAGGCAGCAGGAGGACACCGGCCCACACCCTGGCCTCCCCACTCTCCGGTGCCTGACTCCGCTGCTGGGCTGAGAGGAACATGCCGTATCAGCTGTGCTTGGATCGCAGTTCCGGTCCCAGACCCTCCTCCCCACCAGAGTATCGGGGCCGACACTGCGACCCCCGGCACGGCCCCTGCCCAGGGGGGACAGGTGAGTGCGGACCGTGTCGGGAGGGCCCTGTGTCCAAACCGCGAGGAGGCAGGCCTCTAAGCCCCTTTTGGCTCCGTCACAGACTGGTTGTGTCCACTGGTCCCTTTCTGAGACCAGCCGGTCCCTAGAGGAGTGCGGCCTGTGCGGTCAGGGCTGGGCCAGACCAGGGCCATGTGGTTACCGAAGTGGCCGTGAAGAAACACGGCTGCAGTGTAGACGCAGGGTCGCGAGGGCAGCGGACAGCAGGAGGGGACCCGCCTGTCTGTGGGAGCATGGTCACCAGCAGGAGGGTGTCCTGCGCGGCTTTGCCTCTTCTCGGCTAGGTCAGTCTCTGGCAGCCAGACGAGTTTCCTGGCCTGAGTGTGGCCGCTGTGTCAGCTTAAGGTGATCGGGTCTGGGCCTCAGCCGCTCAGTGCCGACTCCATGAGACCAGTGTGCTGTGTGGTCTGCAGGCGGAATGAGCGTGTGTGTGTGTGTGTGAGCGTGTGTGCGCTGAATCCATGTACAGAGGTTGGTGTGCCCAGGTCTGGAGCAGGGCAGGGGTACCACGAGGACCACAGCTGGCAGCCAGGCCTGGATGGAAGGGCTCCTGACCTCTGGGTGCTCAGTCCTGGCCCTTCACACATGGCGATGGGCAGGGGCGTGAGGTACCCAGGGTGGAGCAACAAGCAGAGCCCATGGCCCACCCTGCGAGGCCCTCGCGCCCACACCCACTTGGTGACTTCACTGCACAGCCATCGGGTGTCCTCCTAGGCAGGGACTGCAGGCCCCATGCGGGCAGGGTTGCTGACGGGCACGCCATAAGACACCGGCCAGCCAGCCTGGAGTTCTGGTGGGCCGCAGCCTGGCCCAGCCCACCGCCCACCTGTGTGCCACCCCCTTACGTAGCCAGAGGAAGCCACACACCTGGCTGAGCCAGAGCGGAGCTTGGGCTGAAACTGCCCTAGAGCACCAAGAGCGGCAGGGACTCCCCACCCGGCTGAGCTGCAGCAGCTCCGGACCCGGTGGCCACCAGCCTGAAGGAGGCCGCACTCTCCGTGCCACT